AGTGGGTCAAACAGAGCTAATTGAGGTGGGGGGAAAATGAGGAGAACAGGCCATAATGCTGAATAGAGTTATTTGTCACTGAGTTGGTAATAGGATTTTCAATTAATTCATGCCGGCTTCCAATGCCTTTACATTAGCGCTGTCAAGATGAGCTACAGCCACATCTAAAATGCCATCCCCTATTAAGCGGTGCATGTCAGTAAATTTGTAATTTCTTCTGTTCAACCAGAAGATGAATGGATTCCACTCAGAAAACAAATGTGTGTTTCAGAAATGCACATTTTCCTCAACACTTCCTAGGAGGAACATTCTTTACATTGTTATATGGTGAATATCTATCAAAAGTGTAATTGCTCTGTGAATTCGTCCAAAAGGAAAGGCCTCCAGCTGTGGAGAGACAGATTCATTTTCAGGTGCTGTGTTGCACCGGTGAGCAGGCGTTTCACACTGTATGATGGGGGTGATGATCTGGATGATGATGATGACGATGATGGTGGTGGTGGTGGTGGTGGTGGTGGTGGTGATGGGAGGATGATGTAATGATAGCTCACACATGCAGCATACTGCCTGCTGTGTCATTTAGAGGGGCTTACATACATTAATTTTTGAAATCCATCCAACAACCCAGATGAAGACATAGACACAGAGAGGCTCACTGTCTTCCTCAGAACAAACAGCTATACAGTGACTGAAGGGCTTTGCACCTGGCCTCTTCGCCTCTGGAACTGGCTTTCAGATTTAGCCATTCTGGATCACCATGTTGTCAGCTCTGATCCAAGAGTTGGTTGATGCTGACAGTCCTTGATGCTGACAAGTCTCTCTCCTCCCCCCCCCCCCACCTGCCCCGGAAAGTCTACTGTGTATTAACAGTGACTGTTATTTTTTTCAAACCTGGCTTGGGCAAGATGGCTGAACTGTGATCCCCGAGTGGTATGGCAAAGGAGGCATCTCTGTGAGGAAAGACAAAAATGTAGAATTTCCTCTTCTACAGAATTGGACTCTGGGTGCACTGAGATCAGGGTGCACAGGAGGGTGAAGCCTTAGGATTCTTGGTGGTATTTCTCTTTTGGAGAAGCCGCAGACTCATTTCAGAATGGGATTGAGGCTACCCAACGGGAGTGATGCCATTGAGAGGCAAGATCTTAAGTCAGTGCCCCAAAGCCAGAGGGCACAGGGTGGTGTCAGAACTTCTAGATGCTTCCTCTACTGTCTTTCAAGAGGAAGACAGTGAACCTCTCTTTGTCTGTTTCTTCATCTGGGCTGTTGGATATATTTCAAAAATTAATGTATGTAAGCCCCCTCTACATGGCCCAGCAGGAAGTATGCTGCGTGTATGCTGCACCTCTCTCAGACCAACCACAACTCTACATGGGTCATGCCAAGTGCAGACAATTGCCAGTAGCATTTGGAGAGTCAGGAATTGGTTATTCTGTATAAGCCAAAGAAAAAGTTTACAAACAAAACAAAACAAAACAAACAAGCGAACAAAAACTGGCTTGTGAGGAGGTCAGACTTAGAAACCACAGTAATTTTTTAAAATATTACGAGTTTTCTGTTGTTGTTGTTATCACGGTATAAAATTTGAGCTGCATTTTGAGGCTTTAGGAATAATCTTATGAGTTTTATTTCCTATTGATCTGCACTGTAGCACTGTCCTCCCATTGTTCATTGACTTGCTTGAGCAGGCACTAGTAATGTCTCCATTGTGAGACTTGTTGTTACTGTTTTTGGCATATCTAATACACCACGGGGAGCTTGCCAGGCTCTGCCATGTAGGCTGGATACTCTTGGTAGCTTGCCGGGCTCTCCAAGAGGGACAGAGGACTCGAAACCCAGTTGGCCGCATGCAAGGCAGACGCCCTACCCATTGTGCTACGGCTCCAGCCCCTATTGATCTACTTTACTGAAAAGATCAAACAGAGCCAGAACGATAATACAGTCTTTGGGGCACTTGCCTTGCATGCAGTGCACCCTGATCAATCCCTAGGATTACAAATGATTCATGGGCTCTGCCAGGAGTGACCCCTGAGCACAGAGCCAGAAATAATCCCTGAGCACTGCCAGGTGTGTACCTACACTCTGCCCACAAACAACAACCAAAAAAGGCATCAAACTTCTTTTAAACAAGTTGTCTATATCATAGATCTGTGCTTTGCATATAGCACCCTGCTCACCTGTTCATCCTGATTGGCTGAGGGTGCACCCCATTTTTCTCATGGCCATCTCAGCTCCCAGGAGAGAACAAGGCAGAGTCTCCTACCCTGTGCCTGACTGTCTCCACCAGGGCCCAACAGCTGAAGACCTCCGGGGCCCAGCCAAGGCCATGCTGGGACCACTCTCCACACACTTGGATGAGCCTCACGCATAAAAGAACTGGCAGAGGAACCCAGGTGTGTGGGACCCGGGACTGAGATCTCCAAGCCTGCATGGTTTGGGACTGGACCTGCCTGTAACTAGACAGGTACACCCACCAACTGCCGTGTAACTCCAACAACGGCCAGGATCCAGAGATTATCACACTCAGCTCCGGGAAGCGCAGGGCCGCATTTGCGGCTGCACGACATCTTATCATCTCATTCCTACTTTGGACAAACTGGCAGGCTACCAAATGTAACCTGCTCACACGGCAGAGTCTGGCAAACTCCCTGTGGCATACCCAATATGCCAAACCCCAGTAACAATGATGGGTCTCATTCTCCTAAACCTGAAAAAGCCTTGAATATGGTACTTAAAAAAAAAATCTCAGGGCTAGGACGAAGAAGACGTTACTGGCACCTGCTCGAGGCAATCGACGAACAACAGGGTGGTCGTGATCGTGATCGTGATCTGTGCTTCAAATGCACAAGTGGTTCATTATTGCCTGAAGGATCCAACGACGGGAAACTCCTTAAATTGCTCTCCTCTAAGATACCTTCTGCTCCCCCTGCCTACTTCTCCTGTTCTTTCTGCCCCCATATTCCCTTCATAGAGTTGCCTTCTTTATGACACCCCAGACCCTCTACACAACATGTTGCAGTTCTTTGTTGGTGCTGTCCCCTTTGCCTTTCTCTGTCTTCTTCCAAACCCAAGTTGTCTGGCTAAGTTCCTCTGTATCCTTTAAGCCCTGGCTCACTATTTTATTTTATTTATTTATTTTGCTTTTTAAGACACACTTGGCAATGCACAGGGGTCACTCCTGTCTCTACACTCAGGAGTTACCATTGGTGGTACTCAGGGGACCATATGGGATGCTGGGTATCAAACCTGGGTCGGCTGCGTACAAGGCAAACGCCCTACCCGCTGTGCTATTGCTCCAGCCCCAGGCTCACTATCTTATTTCCCATAGAGAGTGATTTGTTTTCCCACCCACGAAACCCTTGAGATCTCTGTTCTTTGCTCCTCTACCCTTTCTCTCCTCTCGCATTCACTACTAGTTTTGAGGCCTTCCTAATATATTTTTGTTGCACGACCAGAACTGGACTCTTTAAAGCCTTGGTTCTAGCACATTGCCTGGTTAAAAAGTTGAGAGCTCGGTAAATGTTTTCTGAATAAATGAATCAAGGATTAAGGATGTGAAAGGCGGGAGTCCAATAATCACTTTCAGCAAATTACTCTAGAAATGTCTGATTTGCCATTTATTCTCCAAATCAGTGATAGGCAACAGGGTCCCTTGGAGGCCAGAGATCTTCTTAAAGTGACAACTGACGCTCAGGAATGGGTTTCTCCAATGCCACGGGGAAGTATTATATTTAATCTTTGTGATGATTAGATTGCCTTGGGACTATCACACATTTTAGGCCTGTCATTTAAAGCTATAATGTAATGCAGTAACATTTAAAATCTCATCTATTAGTGTATCAGCCTAATAGTGCTCTCTACCCAGAAAAGTGTAAAGTTGAGTGATGGTATAGAGCTTGTTACTAACTTGGAGAGGCACTGGCTAGGGTGGCCCTATTTGCTGTTGTAATCCACACCCTGCCACGACGTAGATCATCAGCTATAGTTATTGGGCTCATAAAGAAATAAGATCTGCCATCCCCCTTAAAAGTAGTAGAGGTTTGGCTCCAAAGCCAATCTGATTTTTAATACTCTTTATGAGCAGTTACCAAATTCATGATTTGTTCTGTTATTTAATCTTCCAAATGCTTTGTGTTAATTCTACTGTATAAAATAGCTTGTGTCTTAACTTTTGTTCCTTGTTTTCTGAGTTTTTAAATTTTACACCAGGGAGCCAGGTGCTGCTGTCTTACTAAAAGCTTGAAAAGACAAGAGCCCTACAGAATTAAATTAAGGAATGGGACACTAGATTACAAATGGATGACCTACTGTTCTTACCTCCTTGTGACATTTGTTTGTGTTTTCTATTTTTTGTTGTTGTTGTTTGTATTTTGTTTTGGGGTCATACCTGGTGATGCTTAGGGCTTACTCCTGGCTCTGTTCAGGGATCACTTCTGGCAGGACTTGGGGTTCCATCTGGAGTACCAGAGATAGAACCTGGGTCAGCTGTTTGCAAGGCAAACAGTACTATCTCTTAGGACCCTGTGTTCGCTCTTTCCTGGTGATGGACGGTTTCGGTTTTTTTTAGAAACTTAGATTTAATTTTATTTATTTATTTATTTATTTATTGGTAGGTAGGGTTTCACTAGATGTCCTGGACACCCCAGAGGCCACTCTTGCCAATATGAGGGCAGGCATCATAGGCTCATGGTTTGGTGCTTGGACTTCAGCTGTACTAGGGGTCACTAGGGACAGACTGGGCCGTGGTTATGGTTGGGGAAATGACTTGCACATGCAAGGTATGTGTCCCCCCTTTGAATGATCTTCCCACTCATTTATAGGTGTTTTGTTTTTTATTCTTTCTTGGGGGGGTTGTTGTTGGTTTCATTTTTTTTTATGTGATATTTTCTTTATGGAGCAGAGTCCTGGTTTGACCTTGTCTTAGGAGCAACGATGATACATATAGTTAAATTTTAAAAGATTTAAAGATCATTCTTTCATTAAAACTCATTTCTCTCCTTAAGGGCATACCTCAGTTGCCATGTGCCAAAGCATTATACAACTACGAAGGGAAAGAGCCCGGAGACCTTAAATTCAGCAAAGGCGATATCATCATTTTGCGGCGACAGGTGGATGAAAATTGGTACCATGGGGAAGTCAACGGAATCCATGGCTTTTTCCCCACCAACTTCGTGCAGATCATCAAACCCTTACCTCAGCCCCCACCTCAGTGCAAAGCACTTTATGACTTTGAAGTGAAAGACAAGGAAGCAGACAAAGATTGCCTTCCATTTTCAAAGGTAAACTTGGAACGAGATAGTCCTGCTTTGCCATCAGCTGTTCTGTGTCTCTTGCTTTGTGTCATTTTGCAAAAAAGTTGTGCTTCTGCAAATACCTGAAAACAGCCTTCTTCAAGTCATAGAGAAAGTACTTTTGTGCACCGACTGTTCTACAGGAAAGATAGTTTTCGTTGATGCTCTTTGTGGTGTCATTTTCATATTTAGAGACTGTTTGATTCTAAGCTACTTAGAGGGGTGTGTGCCACTCTGGAATTTTAAGTCACTGAGTTATGAATAGCAAAATGAAACAACATTATTTGCTTATTTTATATGTAGATTTCATGGCCAAAAATCATAGAATATAACAACTGATAAAAATCTGGATTTTTGAGCAGAATAGCATGCATTTTGTAAAGAAACAAAGTAGAATATACATTTATGTGGGGCATGTAGAGAAAGTACAGCATGTAGGGGTCCTTTGCTTTGCTTGTAGCTGACACAAGTTCAATCCCTGGTACCACATGTGGTTCCCTGAGCCAAGCCAGGAATAAGCCCCGAACATTGCTGGGTATGGCCCCAAAGGGAAAAGTAAACAAAATGAGAGCATTTGATATTTTAGTAGAGAGAAACTGAACAGAACCAGAGAATTAGTCTAAAAGAAAAGCTCATAAAACTGGAATTGTAGCATTTAAAATTTTAGCTTGTGTATCTAAGCAAAATAGGCATATGAACGCTTTGTTCAGAAGGGATTCTTAGCTTTACAATGCTCCAAAAGACATAACTGGGTCATTGATAATCGCTGCTTAGTTGGGGTTCCCAAAATGCTTGGTACTGCCCCCTTGTTGGACTGACCCCATAGTGCAGTTGGTACACTTGAAAAGGAGAAGGTGGGAGTCTTTATGTTTGCCCACCTAAGGTAGATTTCCAGCAGGGTTCTGAGCAAATTTTTTTTTCCTCAGAGAAGCTTAAGGATCTCTTATTTAGTTCAGGAAAACATTGGATTCATGTTCTAAAGATTTGCCATAACACATAACATATGTGTGTATGTATATATATATTTTTACATATACATACATATATATATACTTTTAATTATGGTCTAAATTTGATTCTCTTTAATTTAAAAGAAACTTCAGCACCAATTTTAGAAGGATCAGATAGACTAATATCTCCTGTTTCTTTAGGATGATGTTCTGACTGTGATACGCAGAGTGGATGAAAACTGGGCAGAAGGAATGCTGGCAGACAAAATAGGAATATTTCCAATTTCCTATGTTGAGGTAAGTTAATCTATAGAAACTTGAGTCATGTTCTTCAGCCCAGTAAATGTAACTCAATTTTGAAATTTGAACGTAAATACTTTCTCACCATCATTGTTCAATACGTACATATCATATATAACATTGTTGTGCAGTAGACCTTAAAGTAGTAGAAGGGTATGTATCAATTCTGCCACCGTAAAAGTGGGAAATGGGCAAAAACAAAAGTCTACCTTATTAAAAAGTATTAAAAAGTTCCCAGACCACAAGATACTGGCATTGCCCCATCCAGGTGATTTGGTGAATTAGAAAGTTGGCTCCAGTGATTGAAGACTCTGAAACTCTGTTTTCTACTCAAAGCTTTCCGGTATCTCCTTAAATGTTCTAGATGCTTCTTATCAGTGTCTATACTACTGCTAGGAGTTCTCCTCTATTTCCCAGACCTGGGGATCAAAAATAGTGGGAGAGAGGTGAAACCTGATGTTTCTCTTCATTTGTTTACTCTTTCTTTCTTTATCTGCCATACCTATCATCAGAATGGTGACTTGTAAACATTGAATACGTATCAAAGGAATGACCAGTAAATGCTCAGTACTCTCCCTTTTAAAAATCAGTTTACTCGGGGTGGGGTTTAAGATTCAGGGATGTCTTTTCAAAGAATAAACTAACATGACTGTATTCCTATAAAGAATAGCACAGATTAAATATAAGCTAGGAAGTTATCATTTACAATAGGTCTGGGTTACATTACAGATCATCCTCCTCATGTCCTTTAGCAAGTCTGGGAAACAAATCAAAGGCTTTCTCAAAGAATAAAACACAGCCCAGACATCCAGACAAGGCTTCAGAAGGCTTTGGGATGAAAGTGAGGTCTTATTGGATCCCTGGGTAGTGGGTAAGGAAGGACTAACTGAAAGTCATGGCAAAGGTGCATGTTTATGGCAGGAAGAGCATCTTCAAAAGCCAAAAGAGACAGGGTACTTATTGTTTGTGATTTTGAAGGTAATATTGCTAATACCACAGCAGTTATCTCTAGTGCCTGGGGAGTTCGCGTATAGGGTGGAGTGTATGCTTTGTAGGCGGGAGCTCTGGGTTCGGACTTTATATGTGGAAACCTTAGATTCAATCCCATTACTACAGTGGGAATAGCCCTCAATAATGTTGGGTATGGTCCAAAAAGGAAAGAGAGAAAAACTACCATCACATATTTTTACTTTTTTTGTCTAAATAATTTGTTTTGGCATGATTCTGAAAACTAAAATGACAAATCATGCCATCGTCGCCAGCACTCAATTTCCTTCATAGACGGCAAAATTGCCAAAGTTTTCAAAAAATATCAGTTTGACTACCGTATATCCAAGGAAAAGTAATTCAAACCATGTACAGGCCTTGAGTCTTACCCATGCCTTTCAGATGTTCCTGTTTATTGGAGATTCTTTTTCTTTTTTTCCTTTGAAAGTAAACAACAGAAAAACTAATTCTTAACTTTCAGGCAGTCCTTTTTTGTATATTACTTCTATAGTCTAACTGCGGGTCATGGAAAATTACAAGTACTTCCAAGTATTTGAGTAGATACTCCGAACAGCATGGGTAAGCACACGTTTAGTAATGAAAGCCTGTCTTTACTTGTTAGACTTTATCAATATTACATGCCAATACCTGGTTCATGATGCATGGAAAAGTGTTGCTGTATTTTTGTTATTGGGCAGGTGTAGAATTGCACGATTGGGCAAAAAAAACTCCACCCAAACAAAATCCAGAGTCACTCAAGTTCTGAGGATTATTTACTATGACTTTTGTTGGAAAGATAAACTTCTGCCCAAGTGGAAAGTATTTTCATTCTCTGTTTCTTTTCTTTCAAGCACGTATTTCCCCCATTTGAACTAGGATTTTGCCAGTTGAGACAAGGTAAACAAATCATCTATCGTTAGGAGATGGAACGTTTCTTACATTTCTTTGCTGTCTCGCCATAAGAGTGAAGTTTCTGGCGGGGAGCAAGACATCTGGAGCTCATGACACCTGGTTTAGCCTTTAGGAGAATAAAGTGGAGGCAGATTTCAGTAGCAACCTACCAAAATTCAACGATTTAAAGTACAGACTGTTGTAGAAGGGAGTCTTAAATATGGTAAAGGCAGCCGTAGTAATAGGACACTGGGGCTTTTTTCTTCAACAGTGTTTTTCTTTTTCCTGTTCTGCAAACCACTAAGGCCTTTTGCATTCATCTATTTTGCTTGTTTGTTTTGAAGTCAAACCTGGTGACACTCAGGACTTACTTTTGACTCTGCTCAGGGATCACCCATTGCAGGGCTTGGGAGAGGGGGGTGATGTGATGTGCATGGGATTGATCCTGGGTCATGTCAGCCACTTGCAAGACAAGCGCCCTTCCTTCTCTCTCCAGTCCCATTTATTAATTGCTTTAGAAATAGGTGCCATACCCAGTGATGGGTTTGGGCTATATATAATTCAGCAGTGCTGGGGCAGGGTGAAAGCACATCCTGTCATGTCAGGTGACAGGTGTGTTTGATGGGCGCTTGGGGGTGGGGTATATGCTTGGCATGTGTTCTCTCAATTGAACTCTCCCCTAAGAACCCAGCAACATTTCACTGTACAAAGATTCTGTCACAAAGCTTCATGTGTAAATCATTTCCCTACATCTTATAAACCTGTAAGTTCAGACTCTGTAAGGATCTGGTGTTTTTGCCTTTTTTCCCCCATATTGTTGCCAAAACTGTTCCCACACTGTTCCTGCTCTAGGGGAGCAGAGTTTTAAAAGAAGATCTCATGAGATAATGTAGTTGACCTCTTTAACGACAGTGCTGTTTAGGGTGCCCACTATGCGCAGAGGAAATTAGGCACAGTAACTTCTAGTGGCCCCACCCTGGGGAGGTGGCCAGTGCATGCTCATGCTTAGTTGCATTAGTGAATGAGTAATAGGTAGAGAGAAAACTAGATTTACCTGCTGAGGTGACTGGAACATTCAGACCCCAAAGGTCTCCTGTGTACCTCAGATGCCCTGGTCAGGCTGTATTTGTTCTCAGTGGTTAGGACCGGGATCAGCTGCAGCTGAAATGTTGTAGCGCTCTGTTATGAAGAAGGAAATGAGCAAATTTGGAATTTCCAGGGCCACACCTTTTGCTGCACATCTGTCAACAGAAGCTCAAACTCCTGCACTCCTTCTTGATTTGAATAGTGAAAGTTACCAGGGAAGAAAGTCATGTTTTATTCTGTGACCTTGCCTGGTGATGTTCAGGGACTAATCCTCACTCAGTGCTCTGGGAGCCATTTGATGCTGGAGATCAAACCCAGGGCCTCACCTGTGCAAGGGAAGTGCTCTATCATTGAGCTCCACCCCTACCCCCCACTGTTCACGTGAACAGGACGGGCCTGGGGGCCTAGGTCTGTGGAAATGGGCTCAGAGGTATTGCTGTGAGCTCTGGAATGGAGGGGGGCAGGGAGTACCCAGAGAGACACTGAGCCTCAGACCTGGGCAAGTGTAGGACTGAGAGTGAGAAGTACTACAGGGAAAGTCTGCCTCCCTTCCTTTCTCTTCTTTCTCAACTCCCATACAATGGCTGTGATCCCTGCCCATGTTAGGAGTTGATGAAATGATGAGGGTGGTATAGCGACTTGCAAACAAATGGCATTTTATTAAAGCTCAAAACTCTTCAAGGCTTGAATGGGGAAGGGAAGTCGGTTGGACTATTCAGGGGCAAGAATGCTGTATAAATTTGGCCTTCATCCTTTGTTCTTCAGTGTGTTTGTTCAAAATCTTATGATTACGCTTCTCTTCCTGATCACATTCATACTTTCCCTTGGGAGATTCTTGTCAGACCCCTCTCTGCAATCAATCCATAGAGATTGTGTATTCAGTTCTCTTTATATTGGGGACCTTTCTAGATTTGGACATGCTGCAGAGTAGTGGGGGTCAGAGTTTCTTGGGGAAACCTGGGGAATTCTTGAAGATGCTATGCCAGGATTTAAATAAAAGGGTGTATTTGTCAAGGACTGAATGCAGTTCAGAAAAGAAATCTGAAACCTGCATCTTTTTTGTTCAAAATATACCAGTCTCTATAAACCTCATTAATTTGAAGTAGACTCATTCAGCTCTGACTGTCATTTGGACAAGGATAGCATGCTTCTTAGCCAACAAAAAGTTTGAATGAAGTAAATGCCAGATACAGGATGGAGGGTGTTTTTTCAGACATTACTGACTATTGCAGCTGAATGATGACTTAGAAATTTTTATGTAATCATTTAATTTTAGTTCCTAGTCTTCATATAAAATATCATTTCCCCAGATTATTCAGCAGCAGTAACGCTTATTTAGCAATCTGCTTCTCTGCTACAAATAATATAAAAATAATTGTTTTTTTTTTGTCCAGAAGCATGACATTGACATAGCCTAATAGAGTCTTACTCTTTAGTTACTGTCAAAGAGAAGATTTATAATTCTTTTTCTCTAGATCTTTGGTGAAATATTACGAATTCTGACACTTTCCCTCCCCACCTTAACAAAAGTAATTGTTCATCTTCCACTTTCTCATACACAGTACTGAGTGGTCTCTGGGGGTGGGGGCTTGAATTCTGAACCCACTTATCCTCAGTCCAAGTCTCAGCTCTGCCACTAATTATTAACTGAGTCACTCTGAGCCTGATCTCCTCAAGGTAATAGAACTGTCTCCTAGGGACCAAAATTTCCAATGATAATAATGGGTTCTTGGGGAAGAGTTCAATTGACAGAACACATGTCAGGCATGTACCCCCCCATCCCAATAATAGCAATGTTGTTGCTATTCCTTCATAGCAAGTGTTACTCTTTTTTAACTCTCTAAAGTAATAACTATTTTAAGTGGTTACTGTGTCCATTGGAATATGAACTCCCCAGGACCAGCTTTTTGTGTCTCTTTCACCTTGGTCTCCTGAGGTCCTTGGACAATACCTGTCCCTGGAGACTCAATCAATACTGATTGAATAAATGAAAGACCTACTTAAGAATCTTTAGAACAAAAGGCTCTAAACCA